GCAGCGAGACACCCTCCTAACTCCCGACTCGGGAAAGGTAATGTAGTAGCAGGGGTAAAAAGGGAGAAAATGCAGTCGACGAGCACGGGTGTATGCGCGAAATTCTCGCGTGAGTTTGCCTCGTCCGTGAGGCTGCCGGGGCACGCGGCGTGGGTGTAGCAGAGAAATAATGGTCTGCTAGGAAATGTAACCAGCCGACGCTCACGCCCTCGTCGCGACGCCCCGAGAGACTTTACGGGGGAGAGAAATCGAAGAAAAGCGACTGAGAGACAAAACTGGATAAAGGGCTGCACCAACCGACGGGGAAAATAATGCGTCGCGTAACGCGTTGCACAGATATCTGCTCGGATATACGCTGGACATTCCTCTTCGAGCTAAACGCTCATCGAGCTTCCGTATCGTTTGAATTCCTCGCGAGGAACCTACTTCCTCGACCGGCATTAAAACCTCGATCGGGACGAGAACGACCGCGAGATCATGCAAATTCTAGCGGTCGCAACAACTGGAAAGCGAGAAACGCGTAATAAGGAGCTTCCATCGGATCGTTGCCGTACTCGAAAGCCCCGCTACTCGACGCGTCTTACTCGCCGGCATACCTAACCTCTCTATACATATATCTCCTATACCCGTCTCCTCCTTTCCTTATTCAGCCTCCAGCTCTCTCCGTTTCGTTCGCTCGAGATTTTTCTCGGCGATTAAAATTTATGCTCACTCGTGTTCCCGGTGCGTGCATATCGCGTTTCGTCTCGCGCGATGCTCGTTTTGCGCCGGGTTACGCACACGCCCAGCACCGGCACTTCGAGCCGATACGTTTTGCCCGCTCTGCCCCGAGTGTCTGTCGAAACCGCGACGATTTCGTATCTCGTTCGACATTCTTTTCAATCGCGACGTTGACGGGTAAAACTAGGGGCAACGAGGAATCGCGGAGGGACGGATACTTTCACCGACTCGACGGCATTCTCTGTAGGTGACTCGTCCGGCGATAAAGAGCAAATCGCCGCAACGTTTATTGCCAATGGTTTTCCCGCGATCCCAGCTTGCGTCGAACAAACGATTGCGTTCTCAAAGAGACCGCGTTGCTCGCCACCGACGCGACGACTCTTTTTCATCGACGGATACGATTGCCTGGAAATCGAACGAGATCGACGTTGAAAACAAAGGACGCGGTCGTGTCCGATGCACCGGACGCGGCACCCGAAAGGTTTTCGGTCGAAACATTGATTTTTAATCCTGGCTCCGTTATACCGCACCTTTGTGAGCAGATAGAGAGGATGGATATTGCGCCCCCGGCGAGGGATGGATATCGAAAATTTAAATCGATTCGGCGGATCACAGAGGCAACGAAGAGAAACGACGGCGGAGCGGAAGCGAATTTGAAAAGCGGAAAAGGTCGAGATACGGTCGCGAACGAAACGATCGGATCCCTCGGAATTAAGGTAACTGTACACGGTTGCGGTACCGTTTCGAAAATTCCTGCGGACGTTCGAGTTAATCGAGGATCGCGTCATGGCGCAAACGAACGGAGCCAGTCAGCCAGTCGGTCGGTCGGTCGGTCGGCGGTTTCCTCGCGAAGGATCGTCTCGATCGTCTCGAGATTCCTCTCTCGTCTCGCGTTTCTCCCTCCGTTCGTTTTCGTCCCCGTTGCTCGAAGCGGAGCCGTGCTCCTCTCGAGTTCGGTCAATGAGAGTAGCCTACATTCGTCCGTATAATCTTTTGCTCGCTGCTCGTGCTCGGTCGCGCGCGCGCGCGCGCACACACCTGGCGAAACCGTAAGGTGTTTTCTCTGTCCCTCTCGGTGTGCCGCGGCGGGGCGAGATCCGCGGGCATCGCGCACCCATAGACGCGTACAAAAGGACGCGAACTCGCAAACGGGCACACGTACGCGAACGAGCGACGACGTTCTCTCGCGAGAAGAGACAGCGGAGTGCACGCAAACGCGTCTTTCTCTGGAGAGAGAGGGACCAGCACGACGACGAGCAGCACGCACCGGAGAGAACGTTGCTTGGCCGCGCCGCTCTTTTCTTTCTCTTTCCGACTCGATGGCCGGCTCTTCGTCGCTCGACTGGCAGGGGGCAAGTTTCGGTCCGTCCTTGTCGGTTCGATAGGATACTGGCAGGCTTGGTACGGCCGCAACCTGGACCGAAGTAGTAGGCTGTACAGGTATGCACGAGGTGGGCTGGCCGGGCATTCCTGCGGCGTTGCCGAGTCTCTTGCTCGCACCGTGGCCCCGTCGACCAAGAACGACAGAGAAACGAGGATACGCGGCCGCGACACGGACGAAGGAAGAGAAGCGGCGATCGAGCGGAGCCGAGCCGAGCCGAGCAGAGGGGAATCGAGAGAAAGAGGGATATCCGAGGCTCTCGAAGCCACCGACAGAACTCGAACGAGTCTTTCTGCCTTTCCGTGGAGGCAATCGAGTTCGTTCGAGAGAGGACTGCCTCTCTGACTCGACCTGCTCCCGAAGACTTCTCTCTTGCCGCTCGTCGTTGCTCCTGCTCCAGCTTCTGCTCCGCCGTAGCTCGCGATACCGGCTTTTGCGTGCCGTGGACCCCTGACCGCGACTTCTGCTCGATTCGATTCGATTTTCTCCTCCCGGCCCCCCGCTCCTCTGTCTCTAGTCCGAATTCGTTTTTCGACGAACGAGGATAAAGCGCGCCACTCGAAATTGGATCGGAGAATCCGTCGGTTTGATCGGCGTCACGGTCTGCGGTTAAAGGGAAATCGAAAGGACAGACCCTCGAGAGGGTGGAAACGCGAAGTAATCGAGTTCTAAGCGAGTACGCGTACGCGTAACGAACCGTGCAGAGCTTTCGGTGGCTCGCTCGTCGCTTCGAAAAGTAATAGAATTTCGGTCACCGCGTTCCGTGGCGTTCGATCGAATCCCCGAGGAGCTCGTCCGATTCGACGGAAGAAACCGGAGAAGCCAAATTAGTCGGGTCGTCATCGACAAAAATTGATATCGACTCGAATCTGATCGGAAACGCTCGCTCGCAGGCTCTCGTGCTCGCGAATCCGCTTTGCGGCCTGGCTTCTATCCTCGTGGTAAATCGGTGTTTACGAACGAGCGAACGAACGAGCAGATACCGTAATACGAGTAGTCGACCTCTCCGGACCGTGCTCGAAGAATGAAATTCAGAGATGTAACGGGAGAGAAGTCGAGAGCAAGACGCAAAGCGGAGATATCGAATAGGCAAGGATAACGAGAAGCTCGGGTTTCGCGCAGGTCGAAGGAAACGAAGTTAGCCGTCTCCGTTGCGCCGACACGGTCCACTGGGAACGCGTATCCTTGGCAAGTTCCATTAAACGCGTTACGTACGGAGCCAACTCCCAAAGGATCGCGAACCAAGAATTTGCCGCGAGTGTACCGTAGGATCGACCAGAGGGAAGAACGGAATAGTCTACGAGCAGATATTCAGTGGGCGTAAACGTCGATAGATTAACGTTAAAATTTGACGAAATTGCCTCGGTTGGTTTTTCGAAAACGGTAACGTCACGTCCGCGATGAGAATCTACGGGGAAAGCGAGATCCGGCCGTAACGGCCAATATCGCGAAGAACGCATCGCGCATCCAAAAAGGCACGAAGAAGCACGGCCTTTCGTTCGGAAATCGACTCACGTAGAGTAAACAGGCACTGCCGAGTTTGCTGGTCAATTTCGGAGAGGCCTCCCTATATCCCTCGCCTCCTTCGTCGCGTCTTCCTTCCTTCCTGTCTGACCGAAGCGTCTCGGAATGATCCCCTTTTAATGCCGCGGCTCCAACTACCGACACACTCGGCACATCCCGAACGATCCCGCAATTCGGAAGATTGGCCCACATTACGAAATTATCGTTATTTCCGTCGACGCAGAGCCGAAGGGGCGCGGAGACGAGCCATCCGACACCCCGAGGCGCCAACTTTTTTCTTCGACATAAATATGGAAAACGTTCCGGATAGCTTACCTCGACGATTTTCGAGTCAACCTGCCCTACCTAAAAAGCCCTCGGTTCCCACACCGGTCGAATCGATTTTCTGACCCGGCTCCGAATCACGATACCCCCGTAAAAAATAATTGGAACGCGTCTCTTTCGAACGACGCTATCTCGAGACCACGGAAGATATTCTTTGCGCCAGATTTCCCGAGGACGAGTAAATATTCGAGGGACTGGGTCGGATCGAGTTCTCGGCAAATATCGGAGCTACGATCGAGTCGCGTACGTTCAATATACATAGTCTTCCGCCGACGTGGAACGAGTTCCCTCGCACGAGGTTAGTTACCCTGCATCTTGCGACGAAACGGAACGCGTATCGACGAGTATCGATTCGCGCGGGTCGGTAAACACGCGGAACTCGTATTTAATCTACACGATACGCGACGATATCTCGGTATCGCGCGAATAATCGTGCCTTTGAAACGACGCGACGCGTTCGATTCGCGACGACGACGAATGGGATCGAGCGACGATCCTCGGGCGTCGCGACGGGATAACCTCGAGGGGTAGCGAACGGTGACTCGGATAAATAGCGTTCCTATTAGCCTCCGGTGCAACGTTAATTAAGTTATTTACGAGCAAACGATCGACGCCGGCGATATCTGTTCTCGATCGACCTCGCACCGGTCCCGATAAAAATACACGCGGCGTATCTCGACGTTCTCGCAGAAGGCAACAATTACGTCGTCGGGCGTACGACTGAAAAGGCTGGCGCGTCGAATCGAGAAAGGCTTTCCAGCTAAATCGTTCGAGATACCAAGACGGATACGAGTAGAGAGCGGTGGCGAGTAGCCAGCCTACGACTTAATCGACGGACGCGTCCAGCCAGTCGTACCTACACAGCGAAGAGAGTCGCGATCGCATTCCGCGTATCGTGTCCCGAGCATCGATCCGGTTTATGATACTCGCGTAGAACAAAGTGCAGCGTGTACGGGACGCGACTCGAGAAACGATCCTCGACGAGAGCGTTCCCGCGACGTTTCCGAAGCTGTAAAACTGTAAAGGATAGAAGAGGACGCGTGGAGGTTACCTTGTTCCGCGTGAGTCCCTCGCGGGTAGATCAGCAACAGCAGCAACGGCAGAAGGTGGGCAGCGGAAGCAGCAGCGGCGGCGCAGGTGGCTAGAAGGCCTGCTACGCCCGCCATATTGAAGGGGGCCATTCTTATCGCAGCCCCAC